CTTGTCCACCAGCCCCGAGAAGCACGTGGAGCTGCTGCTCGGCCTCTTGCCTGGTGCACAAGGGGGAGGAGGAGGAGGAGGAGGAGGAGGAGCAGGAGCAGGAGCAGGAGGAGGAGGAGGACGAGGACGAGGAGGAGGAGGAAGTGGAGGAGGCGGAGGAGGAGGAGGAACACACTAGACGAGCATAACGCCTGGCGTTTCCTTGGTCTCATGGCTTTGCGCACCGCGCACCGCGATGCGCGGCTACCGTCGCGTCCTCGCTCCGCCCCTCTGGAAAAGGCCGGCTCCGCAGGCCCGGCCGCGACGGGCGACGCGTGGTTATCTTCGCGCGCCTCCGCGGGTGACCTTGCGTTTCCCTCCTGTCCCCATCCCCTCCCCTCTCCTCCCCTCCCTCCTTCCTCGCCTTCTCCTCCTCTCCCCTCCTCTCCCCTCCCTCCCTTCATCTCCCTCCTCTCCCCTCCTCTCCCCTCCCTCCCTTCATCTCCCTCCTTCCCCTCCCCACCCTCCCTCCCTCTTCCCTCCATCCCTCCATCTCTCCTCCTCCTCCTCCTCCTCCTTCTCCTCCTCCTCGTCCTCCTCCTCCCAGCCCACCCACGTGCGTGCGGTAACAGCATGACGCTATTTCCGACGCGCGACGACGGCGACGACCCTCCCTCCTCCGTCCTCCTGACGGCTGTCTCCCTTCGTTGCCTTCCGGCTGGCCTGTGCTGACACAAGGGTGAGGACTGGCACGCCGCTGCTGCGGTCTGAACGTCGCACTCGTCACGTCAGGAGGTCCGGGGAGGATCCCGCAATCCCTTCGGCTTGACGACATCCGTCACCGTGCCTCCAGGCACGTTGAGGCATGCTAGAAGCTGGCCGAATGAGAACGGGAAGCGTAGGTCTTGTCCGCCCGTCTCGTCAGATGGAGAAGGAAAAAAGGATGAGGAGGATGACAAGGAGGCGGGTGAGGAGGAGGACAGCGTGGAGGAGAAAGCGAGGAGGGCCAGGAACACGACGAGGAGGAAGGAAAGCACAAGGACGAGGAAGATGAAAGCGGTGAGGATGAGCACGGGGAGGAGGAGAACGGCGAAATAGACGAGGAGGACGGCAGCGTGGAAAACGAGGAGCACAGCGTGGATGAGGAGGGGGAGAGCGGGGAGGACGAAGAGGAGGACGACGTTCTCGAAAAGACGGAGGACGACGAAAGGACGAGTACTGTAGGGCAGGGCGGGGACCGACTAGGATAAAGACAGAATGAAGAAGAACAGCGTGGATGACAACGAGGAGGACGGTAAGGAGGACGACGAAGAGAAAAGATACTAGGAGCATGAGAAGAAGGACGTGGAAATGTGAGACCCCTTGCTACTTGTCGGGACTACGATGGAAACTACCAGGAGCATATGAGGGCGTCTCCCACCTTGTGTGGGATTTTTCGAAGCCTCTTGGTAGTCCGTTTTGGCACCACCTTGGGCCGTCTTGGGGCTCTTGTGCAGGCTTGGGGCATCCTGTGGGGCGTTTTTGGGAGCCTCTTGGGGCCCTCTGGGGGTGTTTTTGAGCGCTCTCTGGGTTCGCGAACTGTGCGTTGCTTGTGTGTTGTGTCATCTGGTCATCTGTTTTTTTGTGAACAGTGGCAGCACACTTCACGTGGCAGAAGAGCTGTTGCGGGCGCGGTGGACGTGTTCCGCTCGGCATACAACGCGACTCATGATATTGTCGACGCAATGGACGTGTTCACCCGAGGCGCAACATCAATCGATTAAAGCGGATTCTTCGCCTGCGATACGCTGGGCACGATCAAGAATCAGGGAGCGCATTGTCAGAGAGCTCTCAAAATCATGCTAAAAAACACCTACTATGCGATTCTGGAAGATGCTGATTGGGTCAGCAGCCACAGCTGGTCTACTGGGTGTTATGTTGGTTAGCCCGTGGGCCACTGTTGGCTGGGTTTCGTGATCTTTCGTTTCAGGGTTCGTTAGCCCGTTATCCTCCGGCTGACGAGACAGGACTGTGTACAGCACGTAGGTGGTGACCTCCCCGTTGCTGGCTGGAAGGATGTAGAATGGCTGGTGCTGTTGTGCTGTGCGGTGTGGTATGAACAACGCCTGACGGTCGAAGTAGTCGGCGGTCTCGATGGGGCGCAACTCCCACGAATGTGTTGTGGACACTGCGCTCCGACCGGCCACCCCAGACCATGAAAGTCGACCGCTGCTGCGCGGTGCGCTTCTCCTTGAAACGAGTGCGCAACGGTACAGGGGGGGAGGTCTGACCGCATGCGCGCGCAGAGTCGCAGGGCGCTTGGGTTAATTGGCCTCCCCCGCACGTCATGCAACGCAAGTTCCTTTACTGGGCTACGCCAGGGTGCCCGCGCGCACGCGCGGGGTCGCAAAGCGCTCGGGCCCTGGGCATCAACGAGAAGGCGGGGCCGTCTGGCCCACGCGATCTTTGAAGGGGCCCTGGGACACACAAATAAATACACACAAATAAAAATATTCCCATATTTTCCCATATTTTCTGGGTTTTTGTCTTCCCCCCCACTTCCCATATTTTCCCATATTTTCCAGGGAGTGGACGATGGAATTGTGTCTGTGTGTTTTTTCCTCTCCTGAATCTTGCATTGCTGCCCCAGCCGCGTGGCCGACACGATGAGCCGAAAATTACAATCACAGTCACGGCCGTGCGCACCCCATTTCGAGGGCGGACGGCAAAGTCGGAAGACCAAAAGCCAATCCCCGAACAGTGCTGCACAATCGATGACCATTGCGGAAATCACTGTTGAAACTCCGCTTCGCGCGGGCAATGCGCACGGGCAGCGCCGGCATCTGACACTTCGCGCCGGCAACTTCTCTCGCGCGGGGGATGTCTCGATTCGCGCAAGCAGCTTCTGTCGCATGGGAAGGTCTCGCGGCCAGTCACAACAACGGCGCGTGATATTTAATTTCGAATTATATAAACACACACACACACATATATATATATATATATATATATATACACATCGGCGGTGCATGGTGCGGAGCGAGACCCCCCCCGGCAAACTCGATCCTGGGGTTCGAGCCAGCAGCGCCGCCAGTGCGAGCCAGCACGAAACCCCCGGTAGCCGGCACGAGACCCCCAGGTAAGCACGACCCCCCCCGGTATGCACTAAACCCCCTGGTACGCACGAACCTCCACCTGGATGCGTGACCGCCCCCAGGACGTGCCGGAACAAGGCGGCACCGCTCTCTAGTACGCGGCCGTTCCGTCAACCCCTCCCAGGAGGCTCGGAACGTCGTGCGGGGCAGGTGGCCCATCCGGGAGTTGCAGCTGCCTCCTGTTGCCACGTGCCCAGCCAGTGTCGACAACAGCGCTGCCACTTCCTCCTCCTCCTCCTCCTCCTCCTCCTCCTCCTCCTCCTCTCCTCCCTCTCCTCCTCTCCTCCTCCTCCTCCTCGTCCTCCTCCTCCTCATCTCCTCCTCCTCCTCCTCCTCCTCCTCCTCCTCCTCCTCCTCCTCCTCCTCCTCCTCCTCCTCCTCCTCCTCCTCCTCCTCCCCCCACCCCACCCGCACCCCCGCCCCACCCCCACCATCCGCTCCCACCCCCCCACTCCCACAAGGGGGGGGGTCCAGGTCGAAGCCCCCCCCAATGCGGCCTGCACGAAACCCCTTGTAAAAGGACAGGGGGGGGTTCTGAGCCGGCAACGGCATCCGGTGCGGCCTGCACGAAACCCCCCGGTAGTATGGGGGGTTCGTGTCACGGGGAACCGCCGACATATATGGTCGCACCCCCTCAAAGATCATACATACTCCTTCTTATCCTGGTCTGATTCGTCGTGGTCTCCGTCTTCTCCCTCTCTCTCTATTTCTTTCCGTCCCTGTCATGTAGTTCTATCTCTCTCTTTCTCTCTCTGTCTTTGCCTCTGTCAGAATGAAACGCTGTGTTTTCCAGCTTCCCCAGCTGCACCAGCTTTTCCCAGAGACTACCCCAACGAAAAACGCTGTGATTTCCAGCTTTTCCAACATTTCCCAAAGACTACCCCACTGAAAAACGTTTTGCTTTCCAGCTTCTCCACCTTTTCCCAGAGACCGTCCCAATGAACAACTTAATGTTTGCGATGTTTCCTATGAAAAACGCTGTGCTTTCCAGCTTCTCCAATGTTTTCCAACTGTTCCCAGAGACCATCCCAAAGACAAACGCTGTGTTTTCCAGCTTTTCCAGCTTTCCCCAATGACAATCCCAATGAAAAACGCTGTGTTTCCCAGTTTTTCCAGCTTTTCCCAAAGACAACCCCGTTGAAAAACGTTGTGTTTTCCAGCCTCCCCAGCTTTTCCATCTCTTCCTGGAGACCATCGTAATGAAAAACGATGTTGTTTTCCAGCTTTTCCATCTTTTCCCAGAGACTGCCTTGCCTCTGTCAGAATGTGTTTCAATGGTGTAGTCTCTGGGAAAAGCTGGAAAAGCTGGAACAGCTGCAAAACAAGTCGTTGTTCAGTCGGCTAGTCTCTGGGAAAAGCTGGAAAAGCTGGAAATCACAGCGTTTTCCACTGGGTAGACTCTGGGCAAAACTGGTGAAGCTGGGAAGGCTGGAAACACAGAGTGTCACTCTGACAAAGGCAAGGTCGTCTCTTGGAAAAGCTGGCAAGGCTGGAAAAGCCAACGTTCTTCACTGGGATAGTCTTTGGGAACAGCTGGAAAAGCTGAAAAACACAGCGCTGCTCACTGGGATAATCTTTGGGAACGGCTGGAAAAAGCTGGAAAACACAGCGTTCTTCACTGGGGTAAGATTTGGGAAAAGCTGGAAAAGCTAGGAAACACAACGTTTTTCACTGAGGTAGTCTCTGGGAAAAGCTGGGACAGCTGGAAAACACAGCGTTTTCCTCTGGTGTAGTCTCTGGGAAAAGCTGGAAAAGCTGGAAATCACAAAGTTTTTCATTGGGGTAGTCTCTGGGAAAAGCTGGTGCAGCTGGGGAAGCTGGAAAACACAGCGTTTCATTTTGACAGAAGCAAAGACAAATAGAGAGAGAGAGAGAAGCATAAAGTGAGCGGGACCGAGAGAGACAGAGAGAGGGAGAAGACGGAGACGAAGGAGAATCAGACCAGGATAAAAGGAGTATGTATGATCGTTGGGGGGGCAACCATACATATATATGCTCACACCCCCTCCCAAGATCTACCTTTCCCGTGCCCTGTTCCAGTCATCCCCTCCTCCTCATCTTCCCTTCTTCATCATTTTCTTACTTCCCCTCCGTTGTCCCCCCTCCTCATCGTTCCCACTTGCGTCGTTTGCCCGTGGCGAATAATGGAGCACAAGTGAAAACCATCTATTGCACGGGGTATTTGAAGTTACCAGCGCCCCCGAACTACAGCTGACGGAAGAGAAGAAGGGGCGTAGCGCTCCAGATCACCTTGGGGCGAAATGCTCCAGCCAGATGCGGGGCGAAATGCTCCAGGGGGCGGAATGCTCCAAATCACGTAGGGGCGAAATGCTCCAGCCAGATACGGGGCGAAATGCTCCAAGGGGCGTAATGCTCCAGATCACGTGGGGGCGAAATGCTCCAGATCACGCGGGGGCGAGATGCTCCAGCCAGATACGGGGCGAAATGCTCCAGGGGGCGTAAAGCTCACACCAGTCGGAGGCAAAACAATTCCAGGCCAACGAGAGACGAAATGCTCCAGGGGAGCGCAGCAATACTGTTTGATCCTTATCTTGGTCCTCCTCCACTTCCGCGGTTCGTCCCTCTGTCCTCCCCCGCCCCCTCTTATTATCCTCCAGTCTCCATCGCTCCCGCCTTCTCGCCCCTCCTTCCTCATCCACACCAACTCCTTTTGTTTGTTGCAACGCATTCTGGCCCGAGCCTGCCTCGACGCAGAACTCGCGGCGCAGCTTCCACACACCCGCGCGGCAGCAATGCCGATGATGCTCCGCCTCGCCTCCTGGTGCGCCGCCAAAGCGCAACACCCCTTCCTCAACAAGCCCAACGCCGACATGACGGCGGCGGCGGAGCAGTGGGGCGTGGTGTGCGACGGGGTAAGCGGCGTCGCGCCCCGCTTCAACCCGGAGGACCTTTCCTGGGACCTCCGGAACTGCCTCCGCTTCTTACTCCGCGAGCGGTTCCACTGGGCCTGTGACAAGCAGGAGTTCGACGCCCAGGTGGTCCGCGAGATCGGCGGGGACGTGCGGAGCATGGCCACGGACGCTCCTGCGGCGTGGGCAGCGAGGCTCCTGCAGACAAACATAATAGCACACGCACACGCCGACATTAAACAACAAGCATGACAGAAAGCCACAAGCTCACAACAGCAGCCGTGCTTGATGAAAAACAAGTCGTTACCGCCCTCCCTGTTTTCCTGGCCGCGACACCTTGGATTCTTTCGGCAAAACGGCCACTGCCGCAACCGACGCGTGCATCCCGACCGCCAGAGACCCGAACGAGAGCCACGAGCTCCATAAAGCAGCCGTAGTTGATGACAAAACACATCGTTACCGCCCTCCTTGTTTTCCTGGCCGCGACACCTTGGATTCCTTCGGCAAAACGGACCACTGCCGCAACCGACGCGTGCATCTCGACCGCCAGAGACCCGAACGAGAGCCACGAGCTCAATGAAGCAGCCGTGCTTGATGAAAAAACATATCGTTACCGCCCTCCTTGTTTTCCTGGCCGCGACACCTTGGATTCCTTCGGCAAAACGGACCACTGCCGCAACCGACGCGTGCATCTCGACCGCCAGAGACCCGAACGAGAGCCACGAGCTCAATGAAGCAGCCGTGCTTGATGAAAAAACACATCGTTACCGCCCTCCTTGTTTTCCTGGCCGCGACGCCTTGGATTCCTTCGGCAAAACGGCCACAGCCGCAGCCGACGCGTGCATCTCGACCGCCAGAGACCCGAACGAGAGCCACGATCTCAATAAAGCAGCCGTAGTTGATGAAAAAACACATCGTCACCGCTCTCCATGTTCTTCAGGTCGCGAGACCCTGGATTCCTTCGGCAGAAAGGCCACTGCCGCAACCGACGCGCGCATCCCGACCGCCAGGGACCCGAACGAGAGCCACGAGCTCAATGAAGCAGCCGTGATTGATGAAAAAACATATCGTTACCGCCCTCCGTGTTTTTCTGGCCGAAAGACTCTGGATTCCTTCGACAAAAAAGCAACTGCCGCAGCCGACGCGTGCGTCTCGACCGCCAGAGGCCACCTGCAAACCAAACCAGCAACGCACGCACACACCAAACACAACAACAAAGTAATCACAAGCCGCAACAACATAAAACTGCGAGGCTCCTGCATCTCGCCATCCAGACCACTACGCTGCACGGCTCCACCACGGTCGGGTTCTTTTCGGTGGCCGGCACCAAGATGTCCTACTGCCACATTGGGGACGTATCCATCCAGGTGTGGCGCAGGTCGGCCCTCACGGGAAGCTACACGCGCTGCTTCATCACCAGAGACCACCACGTCCGCATCGCCACGGAGTCAGGCGAGGTGATGGGCCCGAAGCAGGTTTCGTTTTTCCCTGGCGTGAACAGGGCGGGCGACGACTTGGAGCGCTCCGTGGCGCAGGCCGACTACGGCGTTGTCCAATTGAGCAAGGGCGACATCATTATATGCTGTTCCGACGGCATCACTGACAACGTCCCGTACGATGCCATGAAGTTCGTGCTCACGCGCGCAGATTCCGACGCGCAGGCCGCGGCCGAGCAGATGATCGAGTGTGCGCAGATGCGCGGCGCGCCCAAGCCCGACGACATCTCGATCGTAATCGGCGTCGTCGGGGCTGTGTGAGAGAGCGAAGGCCATGAAGAATGCCTTCCGCACCCTCCTCGTCGTCCACCTCCTCCACCGCCCTCACCTCCACCTCGCCCTCGTCATCGTCATCGTCGTCGTCGTCGTCGTCGTCTCCTCCTCCTCCTCCTCCTCCTCCTCGCCCTCCTCGCCCCCCTCCGCTTCCTCGCCAGCATCCGATCGGCCCAGTGGGCGTACTGGCACGCCAACGAGGTGCATCTCGACCGCCAGAGACCCGAACGAGAGCCACGAGCTCCATAAATCAGCCGTGCTTGATGAAAAAACACATCGTTGTCGTTATTCTTACCGCCGTCCCCGCGGGACCTGGATTTCCTTCGGCAAAAGGGCCACTGCCGCAACCGACGCGTGCATCCCGACCGCCAGAGACCCGAAAGAGAGCCGCGAGCTCAATAAAGCAGCCGTAGTTGATGAAAAAACACATTGTTACCGCTCTCCTTGTTTTCCTGGCCGCGACACCTTGGATTCCTTCGGCAAAAGGGCCACTGCCGCAACCGACGCGTGCATCCCGACCGCCAGAGACCCGAACGAGGGCCGCGAGCTCAATAAAGCAGCCGTAGTTGATGAAAAAACACATTGTTACCGCTCTCCTTGTTTTCCTGGCCGCGACACCTTGGATTCCTTCGGCAAAAGGGCCACTGCCGCAACTGACGCGTGCATCCCGACCGCCAGAGACCCGAACGAGAGCCACGAGCTCAACGAAGCAGCCGTCGTTGATGAAAAAACACATTGTTACCGCCCTCCTTGTTTTCCTGGCCGCGACACCTTGGATTCCTTCGTCAAAAGGGCCAGTGCCGCAACCGACGCGTGCGTCCCGACCGCCAGAGACCCGCCAGAGACCCGAATGAGACCCGCGCGATCAATACAGCAGCCGTGCTTTATGAAAACATACACATCGTTACCGCCCTCCTTGTTTTTGTGGCCGCGACGCCTTGGATTCCTGAAGCAAATCGGCCGCCGATGCAACCGACGCTTTTGTTTCGACAGCCTGAAGTCCAGAAGAGGGCCGCCGGCGAGTCCGAGCAGCCGTAGCTGATGAGAAAACATATCGTTGCCATTCCCCCCGCCCCCGTCGCCGCCAGACCTTGGATTCCTTGGGCAAATGCCACAGGCACGAAAAAGACCAATCAGAAACATGTAGTAGCAGCTGTACGTGCTGCGGGATCCTGGGTTCCGACAGACGTGCCATTTTGGCTCAAGGCGTCCGCCGCTCCTGCGGGCAACAGGCGCGCTGACGTTGACACCCTCCCCTGCAAGGCTTCCAAGCGATGGCCGCCCGCGGCGTTGTCGCCGAGGCAGCCAACGTGCCCGCCCAAGGCATGAAGTCGCTCGGCGTCCACATGTGCGTCGAGGGCATGACGAGCGACGTGCTCGTTGCTGCGTGGGATAGGGCGAAGAACTTGAAAAAGGCCACCCCCCTTGGCAAGCCGAAGATCGACGGCAGTCTCGACCGCAAGGGCTCGGTGGGCGTTTACGACCTGCCCGTCAAGCCATGGAGCGCTCGCGGCAACGCCTCCATAAAGTCCGTTGTCGACATCGTCACTGACGTCGACGCCGCCGAGATGGCCGCTGTGGACTGGGCCAAGGTCAAAGACATTATGGCAGAAGGCAAGTACAAGGAATTGCCGCCGCCGTTCTGCTTCAGCGACCCGGAGGCAGAGCCCCCTTGCACGATGAATCTTGCCGTCACACAGAGAGTCGCAGACGGACTCCCAATCGTCGTGAAGTGGATTCAGTTCATTGGCGGGGAGAAGAGCCCCTTCGTGAGGGACAGCATTATCCGCGGCAACATGCACGTTTTGGACTGGCGCAAGGACGTGTTCAACTCTGCCCGCACGATGCAGATCCTGTTCGAACGCCTCGGTGGTGTCCAAGCGCGATACTGGGAGTTCGTGAGCGCGCCCGCGCCCAGAGCTGGCGGCGGCGACGTTGACGTCGATCAGAAGGAGAAGGAGCTCTCGGCGGGCATCCAGCACATTAAGGACGAAGCCCCACGCACAAATGCTGACTGCGAACAGCTGGAGTGGGTAGAGTGCGAGCTGGTGGGCCCTTCGTCGCCAATTCACAACCTCAGGCGGGGGCTCATCAACGCGGTCCTCAAGGTGCTGCGGGACCGCGACCATTTCGCCAACAAGCTGGTATACTACCCCATCCTGCTCCCAGATGTCCGCGATGAGTACCAGGGCGCCATGCGGCGCGCCATGGAGATGCTGGACACCAACACCGTCCTGTGCGTGGGCGAGGCGGGCTTCGGCAAAACGCCGTTCATGATGTCGATGGCCATGGCCAGCGCCAGGCACAACGCCGACGCGGAGAACAGGGCGACTGGCCGCGCCGACGCGGTGGCCGCCGTGCGGACAGCGCCCGACATGGATTTTTTCCGCGGTGAAGTCGGGCAGCGCTGGGTCCCTTGCATCTTCGACGACGGTGACCTGGCGGAGCAGAGGCCCAAGGTGTTGAAAGCATTCTTCGACGCCACTCAGGCGGAGGCCATGACGTACGTCAGGTGGGGGGCGGCGAAATTCGTCCGCGGGCAGGCCCGCTTCGGCGGGGAGAACGAATACGACGCCAGCGCAGCGCCGACAGCTACGCAGTGGGCGCTGGCATCCACAGGCGCCGACGCCGCCCAGAAGACGGCCGCCATCCTGACCGACATGCTCAAGCCAACGTTCCCGAAGAACTTCTCGCCGAGCAATGTCGGCGCTATGCTGAAACGCTGCACCGTGTTCTTGAACACTCCGACTGACATGTTCTTCAGGCTCGCTGGCACCGAGAGCCGCGTGGAAAAGCTCCCGTTGATGGATGGGTACCTCAAGCCCGAGGCGGGCAAGATGCTGCGCTCCTACTTGGCCCGCGGGGTCATGCGCGACGAGGAGGAGTTCGACAGGGTCATGGCTTACGAGAAGAAGATGGTCATGGAGATCATGGCAAAGCGCGGCGTCGAGTACGGCGTCCCCGCGGAGGCCGCAGGCCCAGCGGGGGAGCCGGCCGCGGGCGCTGCCGCGCCGCCGCCGCCGAGCTCGGCTGGGCGGATCTTTCTGGGCGACCAGGAGGGTCATGCGATTGAACGCGCAAGCCGCCCCCCCCCCATTGCGCCCCCCCCCTGGCGCCATTCCCCCATGCTACTTTTTCGCTCCAAGGGATTCGGGGTGGTGGCGGCTTGCGCGTCCATCCGCCTGGCTCGAGGAAGAGGAGGACCCGTTCGGCTTGGGCGGCTCCATGATCGGCGAGCAGGCGGAGGCGCCCGCGGCCGCCCCTGTCGTGCCGACGGCGCCCATTAAGCGGGAGCCTTCCAATGTCTTCAGCCGCAACTTGCGCCAGAACGGGCCCGTCGAGATCGACCTCTGCAGCCCCTCCCCGTTGAAGAAGAAGGTGAAGTTCGAGTCGGGCACCGTCCCGCTGCAGAAGGTGAAGCTCGAGCCAGGCTCCAGCGACGCGGTGGGGCAGGACGAGTTCGGGCAGAAGCCGCCGAAGCCGCGCAAGCTCTCCCTTGTCTTGGGGGACATCATGGCTCATGAGCTGAACGGCGCGGCGGGGCTCTCGCCAGACTCTGACGTCGCGACGGAGCAGGGCGCCGTGTCACTCACCCAGGCTCTGGAGGAGGTCGTGGATCAGGAGCTGAGCCGCGCGGCGGGCCGCGGCGGCCCGTCGAGCAGCAGCGGCGGCGGCCGCGCGGTCTGAGGCCTAGCGGCGTTCGCTGGGCGCGTTGCCCGCCGCGGCAGGGCGGCGCGGGGGGCGGGGCGGGGTCTCGGGCGCGTAGATGGGACGGGGGCGGGAAGAGTTGCAGTGTAATTTCATCGCCAATGCGACGCATTGGGACGGGGCTGACAGCCATGCTATTGCAGGGAGAGAAGACGCGCGCAGAAACCTATCCTCTTGACATCCAGGCCAGCTGTCGCAAACCTTGGGATGAATGCGCGCAGCACGTGATGTCATCAGGGCGGTTGTCTCTCACTCTCCCTCTCGTGGCCAGATTGGCTCGACGTCTGCGATCGCGCGCCCTCGGCTCCACCCTGAGCACTCCGCATACTTGACGACCAATTGGTCGAGCGAGATGGCCGCCAACGGCGATGCCCGACGTGAGTGCCAGCGCCTCCAGGTTCAGGTTGAAGCGGGCGTCGACTCGCTCGCGTACCATCGCGAGTGGTGTTCGCTGAAGTATCAGGCCTTCCAGGAGTTGCTTCCCCTGTGGCAGGCGCGTTCTCTGCTGCATGACGATATCCGTGCGCGCGTCGCCTCTTTCCTGGTCCCCACTGAGCCGTCGTGGACGTGGATTCCACGGGCGGCGCTGGTCCGCGCGGACAACGACCCTGTGCTGCCGTACGTCTGCTGCTTAGCGAGCATGGCCCGCGGGTCTCGAACCGACCGATCGGCGGCCGCTGCTCTGGGCTCGGGGTGCATATACATACAGAGAGAGAGAGAGAGAGAGAGAGAGAGAGGAACAAAAAAAGCGCCAGAGAGAGAGAGAGAGAGAGAGAGATAGAGAGAGAGAGAGAGAGAGAGAGAGAGAGAGAGAGAGAGAGAGAGAGAGAGAGAGGCGGGGAAGGTAGCGAGGGATGGGGCGCGATCGATAGCGAGCCGACGCACCCCTAAGGAACTCCTCCACTGGATGCGCCCCGCCGCGTTGGCGGTCGGCTTCCCCGCCGACGCCGTGCCCGCCTCGCAGGAGGGCGCGCGGCTGCGGGTCAAGTGGCGCTTGATGGAGATGCAGATGTATTGCATCTACGACGAGCTGGAGGATCCGCCCTCGGAAGGCGCTGCCTGATCGGTTGCCGATCAATCAATTGTTCGATCGGGGTGGTCGGGGCATTGCCTGATCGCCCGCGCCCGCGGGGGGATGGAGGGGAGAGCACCTCTCGGGCGTATGAGTGGACATAGACAGTGGGGGATCCATCGGCCGCGGTCGATCGAGGCGCCCGTCTGGGCCTCGGTCGTTCCCAAGGACGTCAGGGCGAAGATGGCGACGCTCGACAAGACCATCGAAGGGCTGAGCCGCATGCGGCCGCGGGCGACGTGGGCGCGAGCCAGGCGCCATTGCCCGCCGCGGAGGCGGCGCGAGTTGGGCGGAGGGAGAGGGGGGGGGGAGGGCGGGGGCATGGGCGTGTAGATGGGGAGGGGGCGCGGAGATTGACATTTCAGTTTCATGGCCAATGCGACGCATTGGGGCGGGGCTGGCAGCCAGCAGTCACGGCATCCCACGCCGATCACGTGCGGCGTGCTGAAACGCCTCGCCCAATCGTCATCTCCGCCTTCTTCGCTTCCGCCGTCGCCATTGCCATCGTCGTCGTCGCCCTCTCGTCACCCGCTGCTGATGCCAGGGTCATCGCCGTTTGGGGCCAGGGCGTCTGGGAGGAGCCCCGGACGCGCGTCTTCGGTATCGGGGCACATCGCCGACTTGTCGGTGATGCATCGCCGACCCCGTGTCGTCTCTTCCGCGAATTCAGGAGGCAGTTTTGCAGGTCGAGCAACCAGCGTTCGTTGGTGCATTGTTGTCCATTCGCCAGGGCGCACGAGCTATGCCAAACCTGCGCGCCGCACATGCATGCTCAAGCGCATCGGCGCGCCAGGGGATCAGGCGCGCCTGCCCGTTCCTGGCCAGGGTCGTCGGCCAGAGCCGCGCCATGGCGCCTGGGCGCGTCTTCCCTGCGCCTAAGCGGGGCAAGGCGCGCGCTGTCCTCAAGACGGGGAAGCCCAAGCGGAAGGCCCCGAAGCACGCGGGAAAGACAACGGCGAAAAAGACGGCGCCAAACCAGAGTGCGAGGAAGGTGCCTTACGTGCGGCACGGCAAGAGAACTTGCACGTCCAGGCCGGAGCGCGTTGCTTTCAAGAGGAACGCGTTCGATTTCATACGCGCAAGTGACCGCGAGATCGTCGACATGTTGCTCGAGGACCAGGTCTTGGAGAATTTGGAAGGCCAGACGTGCTCTTTCTGCACGAAAGGAACCCTCGGCCCCCTGAAGGACGTCCAGGGCCGTGGACCGCGGTACCGCTGCAACCACAAGGGTTGCCAGAAGTTCTCCTTGCCCCAGAGCGGGCACATGGTCTTCAGCAGCGGCTCTGGCGTTGCCGCGGTGCCCTTGCAGGAACAGTCTGCCGTGCTTTTCGCTGTCGTGAACAACGTCCCCCTTGCCAAGATCCATGCGCTCACGGGCAAGAACCACAAGGCGATCGAGAGCATGAGCAAGTTCAATGATGCGTGCCGAAAGAGCGACGTGCAGCAGCAGGAGAAACTGATTTCTTTCGGAGGAAAGGGGCGGACGTGGAAAGATGCCGAGGCCGATGAGGTCGACCTCAGGGGCGATCTACTGCCTGATCACGCGGAGCGAGCTGAGAACGAGCGGGTCCAGTGGGAGCAGTGGGGCGGTGTCATCGAAAGAGGCAATCGCAAGACATTGGTGTTGACGCGCCTCAAGCCAAGCCTCACCAAGCAGAGGGCGCCAGGCCCAGGCGCGATACGCTTGCCTGATTGGACGCCGTTCGCTCACAAGAACTTGAGCAACAGGAACGTTGTGCTCCACACGGACGGGGCAAAAACGTACAAGGTCAAGGTCGAGGGGATGCTCCACGACCACGTCGTGCACCAGAGGAAGCGGCTCGTGAAGAATGGCAAGCCCGTGAAGAAGAACGGCCGCCAGGTGTGGGTGAAACCCACGTACGCCAAGAAGTTTCAGCATAAACTTCCTGGTGGACGAGTCCTCAAGTGCAAAGGCGGGACCCAGATCATCGACAGGTTCTGGCAGCACTTGCGCGGCTTCATCAAGACCAGGAAGAGCTCCGTTGGCTCGGTGTCATTGAACGCCAGGGTCCGATCGGCCCAGTGGGCGTACTGGCATGCCAACGAGGACCTGTGGCTGGAGACTGGCAAGATGTTCAGCCGCTTGAGGGGGAAGTAGCTTGTAGACCGCAGGCTTAGGGGAGCGCGGCAGGGCGCTTATGAGTAGGCGAGGCCGTGCACGCAACCAGAAGCGCATTGCGCAGCAGAGAAATCAGATGTTCAGCCGCTTGAGGGGGAAGTAGCTCGTAGACCGCAGGCTTAGGGGAGCGCGGCAGGGCGCTTATGAGTAGGCGAGGCCGTGCACGCAACCAGAAGCGCATTGCGCAGCAGAGAAATCTTGAAGCTCACGAAACCTGGCCAGGCGTTTCTCCTGTCTCGGAGCTAAGGAAACTTTGCCAAGCGTGGTGTTTGGTTTCTCTCTAGTCTGGTGGCTCGCGATACCTGGAAAGTCGCTGGTTTTGATTGGTTTGCTGGTCTGGGAGGCATGAGAACCTGTGATTTCATTGGTTTTTCTGGTTTTTCTGGTCTGGGAAGCAGGAAAACCTGTGATTTCACTGGTTTTTCTGGTTTTTCTGGTCTGGGAAGCAGGAAAACCTGTGATTTAATTGGTTTTTCGGTCACAGGTTTTCCTTCCCCCCAGACCAGAAAAACCAGAAAAACCAATGAAATCACAGGTTTTCCTGCTTCCCAGACCAGAAAAACCAGAAAAACCAATGAAATCACATGTTTTCCTGCTTCCCAGACCAACGAGAAAAACCAATGAAATCACATGTTTTCTTTGCCCCCAGACCAGAAAAACCAGAAAAACCAATGAAATCAGAGGTTTTCCTGTTTCCCAAACCAGAAAAACCAGAAAAAACAATGAAATCACAGGTTTTCCTTGCCCCCAGACCAGAACCTCTGTCCGAGTTCTCTGCGAGGTTGTAACGGTAGTTCTCTCGCATTTGAGCGGCTTTGCGCCAGCGAGGAAGGGGCGAGGAAGATACGAGGAGAGACAGACAACTCGAACGTTCATTTGAAAACCCACCAAAAGGTAGATCTTGGGGGGGGGGTGCGACCATATATATTATATATATATATATATATATATATATATAATATATATATATATATATATATTATACGTTATATAGATATATAAATATATAATATATACATGTATACATATATCTGATATATACATATATATATAATTATACTAGAGCCGCGTGCGCGATTCGTGCGCACTTGGGTTCTAGCGCATTCCATGGCGCTGTTGGCAGCGCGTGCTTTTCGGACCGGCTCGTTCCATGCCTTGCCTTACTTCGTCCTCCAATAGTCCCCATACATCCTTCCTCGATAACCCGCCAGTCTCTCTCCGTTGTCCTCGCTTTTCGTTTTTCGTTCTTATCGACGGCCTCCTTTTGCCTGGGAGTATGCGGAAGCTTCGAGCTGTTCAGGGCAGGCGTGGGGAGATATTGAATATGAAGTGGGCTGACTTGAAGTGTAGGGGTCTCTTGTGGATCTTCCTGTTCGGGCTGCCTTGAAGGCCTTGGGGCCCGCTTGGGGCCCTCTTGGGCTCTTCTTCGAAGTTGTGGGGCCGTCTCGAGCCCCGGGGCCATGTGAAGCTCTCCCGAAGCCATCCGAAGGAGAAGAGCGTGAGATTTACTGAATATGGAGAGACCTGAATGGCTTTTGCGTCTATGGCTATCTGAGGTTATTTTGGGTGGCCTTTTGGGAGATCCACAGGGGCATCTTGTTGCCCCTGGGGGACGCCTTAAAACATCTTGGAGCGTCTTGGGCCACCAAAGGGCCATCTTGGCGGCCAGCGGGCGTCCTCCTAAACCAGCTCGGAACCCTCTTCCAGCCGAAAGAGTCACCCAAAGACCCCAAAGCGGATCCCAGAGCCAAGGAGGGGCCAATTGGGTTGCGACGGGGGGAGTTTGGGCAAAGTGGGCATGGGCAACCGTAGGGCCAGAAACCCCGTCGGTGCACAGAGCAAGGTGGAGTCATAGCACACTGGTTGGTGCATGAATGGACGAACTGAACACGTGGCGGGGGGGTACGCCGCACTCGCAAAGCAATGCACTAACTATGAGAACTGATTGCGTATTCTGGATGGGAGAAGGCGAGTAACACGAGGAGGAGGAGGAGGAGGAGGAACGGGAGGAGGGAGGGATGTGAGAGGGGGAAGGCGGAAAGAAATGAAGGAACGGGGTAGAAGGGGGCAAAAGGCGCTGGACGTTCCAGCGAAGCCCCTCAAATCATGGGGGGGGGCAAAGTCGAGATGGTGATGCCAAGCCCCCCATCGTTGTCATCCTTCTCCACTTCCGTTTCCTCTTCGGGTCCTCCTGCTCCTCATCGTCCTCCTCCTAGTTCACCCTGCTCACAAACGCCCGAATAGCCAACCTGATTCCACGCAGCATGGGGTGACGAATAAAGTTATGCAACAAGGACAAACGAGTTGCATGGGAGCCAGCACGAAAAACTCTCATTGCCCTTCTTCGTCAGTCGCCTTCGCATACTAAATTCAGCATCCGTCGACCTCTCCACCCTCGTCTTGCCCCCTCTCTTTTATCGGATGGGACGGCCGGTCGCCGCGCGACACCCCAGGAGCGCCCCCAGAGGCGTCCCAAAACACGGCGCCGAGAGTCGAAAACTGGAGCATATACATCACCAGCGGCGGGCCATTTTTCAATCCCAAAAATTTTGGAGGGTCGGGGACAACGTCGGGGCGGTGTGGTGTATACTTCCCCATATCCTGAGATAGGGTCCTTGTTATTACTTGGACGCCTCCTACTCCTCTGTTTGATTCCTGTTCTCGTCCCCTCCTCTTCTCGTCTCCTCCGACTCGGACTCACTCATACTCAAATTTACTCATGCCCAGACTTACTCACACAAAGACTTACTCATACAGAGACCTACTCATACCCATACTTACTCATACCCAGACGTACACGTACACAGACTTACTCATACACAGACTTACTCAAATTCAGACTCGTACCCAGACGTACACATACACAGACTTACTCATACACACACGTACTCACACTCAATTTTACTCATACCATACGTAACCATGCACATATTTACTCCTACTCATACCTATTCACACTCAGGTCTTCTCATCGTCTGACTTACTCAGCACACATCAAATTTGGAGGATGTTTCAGGCGGGGTGCTGGTTTCAGCACCCCTGAGGGGAGCCGCCAGGGGTGTTTGCACGGGCCCGTTCGCGGCCATTGTGGGGATGTCTCAGGCGGTTTGCCTGTTTCGGTGCTCAACATCCTTCCCTGGGAGAGCAGTTTGTGCGGATGTCTCAAGCGGGGCGCTGGTTTCAGCACCCCTGAGGGGGAGCCACCAGGGGTGTTTGGACGGGCCCGTTCGCGGCCCTTTTGAGGGGCTGTCTCAGGCGGTTTGCCTGTTTTGGTGCTCAACATCCTTCACGTGGAGAGCAGATTGTGAAGATGTCTCAGGCGGGTCGCTGGTTCCAGCACCCCTAAGGGGAGCCGCCAGGGGTGTTTGCACGGGCTCGTTCGCGGCCTGATTGTGGGGATGTTTCACAAGCGGTTTGCTTGTTTCGGTGCTCAGCATCTTCTGCTTTCAGAGCAGATTGTGAGGATGTCTCAGGCGGGGCGCTGGTTTCAGCACGCCTAGCGCGGCGCGACGCCCGCGCGCTCGAGGTGCCCTTGGTTTTCCTGCAGCAAGTCCAATGGCAAATATGGCTTGGCCCAGGAGCAACGGGCCACGATCGTCGACTTTGCGTTCCACGAGGACGACCAGGTAAACTACAACAACGCGGGCCCCGGCGAGCTCTTCAGGCCGCGCCGCTCGCCAACTGGCATCTGGTTGCAGGTCGACGATTTCACGGAAGCGCCCAGAAAGATTTCATGGACTACGTAGGCAAAGAAGAGAAGATTGCACGCGGCCTCTTCTGCATGCCTTTGATGGAGGCAACCTTCACCTGGGAGGTTTCGTCCGTGGCGCACAGCGTGAAGCGGTTTGTTTTCATGCTCTCGCACGCGCACTACCTGACGACGACAGCCTCGCAAGGGCAGACGATGCGCGCTGCAGTGACCGTTGACTGCGCGCGCCAGGTGCCTCAGGGGCGACGAGGCATCAACGATGACACTTGGTGATTGAACATCTACGTGATGTTCTCCCGCGCCACTCGGATGGCGGACATGTGGCTGGTGCGGCCGCCGCCTCGCTGACTTGTGGAGAGAGGTCCGCCAGCGCCAGTGAAACGCGCTGTTCGACGCTTCGCGTCGTCTGAGGACCCGACGGTGGCGAGGGCCGCCCTGCTTGCTGGGGAGTACGGGATAACGCTGCCTGAGGAAGAGTAACGGCCCGTACAACTTCCGGCCCGATGCCCAGTGCGGACGGCATTTTGTTGCCCAGATCCCTCTGCCGCTTGCCTCGCACTGCAAAGCCCGACGCCCAGTGCAGACGGCTGTTTGTCTGCGCGGGCGCTGAACTTCGAGAGCCCCTGCCGGGTTTCGAAGCCCGATACCAAGTGCGGGCGGCCAAAGCCAAGGCGCAAACCGCAAGGGTGCCATTCGTAGCACTTGCCTGTAGCGCTGCTCCCCGGGTGCTTTGGACGCGGCGCCGCGAGAAATCTTAGCCTTTGAAACATATCGAGCATCTTTATCCCGTCGAAACGCACTCCGGTAGTAATCATCACTGACGCAGTCTCGGCTCGAAGCGGAGGTCGCCCATCGGACCCAACATCTCTATATTCACTGAACGCAGTCTCACTTCTTCGGTCGGAAACGCCCATGCCCAGCGCGGCGCCGCGGACGGGGGGAAGGCGACAAGGTCTCCAAGGCGCTGGGCGCGGTTCCGCCGACATTCGACAGGTCTTCCTGCGAATTGCTCTAGGAACGGCACCAGGGGGTGCAAATCAAGGCTCGACCACTGCGACGTCCTCGGGGGCAAGCGCTGCGGCAAGTTGCACAGATCTGGGCACCTTCGCAGCAACGGAGTTGGGCCTGTCGCCCACGGAGACAGAGGCGGCCGCATCTCAATTGCTGGATGACGGCACCGTTTACGACACGATCGATAACCATATCCAGGTGCAGGAAGGGCACAGTTCTTCTTCCAGCGCGGCTGCGAACGAAAGC